CGCCGAGGCCGGAAAGAGCATTCTCAAAGCAAGAAGGAGCTGCGCTAATCACAAGACCAAGATGACTTCCCTTCGTCGTTCTGACGGAACAGTTACTGCATCTCGAAAAGCAACGGGGAAGTTAATCTACGACTTCTATTTGGATCTTTTCGTCAGCTACGTCCACCTGCCCACACCACCATCTTAGGCATAGCGAATATATCGCTCCTTCGGTTGTTCCTTTCGAAATTGGACATGCCAGATGAAGAATGGTACGGCGTGGGGTTCCGATAGGATCAAATCAGAACACCTAAAGAGTCTTCTACCATTTACCGTCAGATCTTTCGCTAGGCTCTTCACGCTGTACCTGTCGGAATGCAAAGTGTCCTCGTCGTGGAAAACTAGCAAGACTGTGCTGTACAAAAAGGGAGATCCAGACGATATTGGCAGTTATCGCCCAATCTGCCTGCTCTCTCCAATCTACAAGTTTTTCACTCGCGTCATCCTAAGCAGGATTGGCAGAATATTAGATGAAGGATAGCCATATGAGCAAACAGGCTTTCGGAGAGGGTTCAGTACAATCGATCATATCCACACTCTTACAAGGCTCATTGAAGTATCGCGAGAGCACAAAATGCCACTATGTTTTCCTACTTGAACTGAACTACTTGAAGAAAGCCTTCGACACCGTTAAGATAGAAGCGGTACTCGAAGCCCTGGGCAACCAGGATGTTCCTACTCAATATATTAGGTTGTTCGGAAAGGAATCGCGTTTGTCAATTCATTTCTCCCCTACTATAGAAGATTTTTCAATACAGTTTTGTATGTCAGAAAGAGATTTTCATTGCGCATCTTTCGATATATTATTGGCTATGCCTACTTTGTTTTTTTTTTGAGAAAAAGAAAAAAAGTTTAAAAGGTGCTAGCCTAAAAATTTCTTTTGCGGGCTTGCATGTGTACAACTTCAAACAGGGAAAGTCGGCTGCTGAATCTCATCGTGCCATATCTGAAGTATACGGCGAAGAAGCTCTGTCAGAAAGCCAGTGTCGACGATGGTATCAGCNAGTTTGGAGAACGAAGAACATGGAAGTCGACCTCAATTTGTCGATAACCAATTGTTGAAGACCGTCATTAAATTGGATCCACACCAAACCACCCGAGAACTGGCAACACATGTTGACTGCTCAAACTATATCATCCATGAGCATTTGCTGGCAATTGGCAAGACGAACAGGTGCAGAAAACGGGTAACGCACAGGCTGAGCGACGCAAACCAGGCAACACAAGTGGCGATGGCCGAAATTCTTCTTCATCGCTCCAAGAACAGCAGTTTTTTCAACTCTGTAGCAACTGTGATACTCTTAAGCCTCTCAAGATTGTACAATTTATTTGGCCAACGTTTCGGCTGCTTCGCCTTCGTCAGGGCCTGAAACAGTGCAAAGCATTTGGGTGACATGTCCGCCCAAAAACCTTAACAAAACTCCAACAAAACTTCAAAATACCAGCAAACACCCAAAGGTATTGATCGAATAAGGCATGCACTGCTCACCTTGGAGTCCGCTGCTAAAACAGTAGGACGACCTCCCTCGCAATAAATGTAGTTTTAAAATACCAGTAACACCTCCCACTGACCTAATCGTAGATCAAAGGTTACACAGGTCAAGGAAGGTTGTTTCAGGCCCTGACGAGGGCGAAGCAGCCGAAACGTTGGCCAAATAAATTGTTTAAACTCGAGAGGTTTAAGAGTAGCACAGTTGCTACATATCATGCCAAGATTGGAAGAAAGTCGATCATGGACTATTTTTCAACTCTATTATTACATCAGACGGAAAAAGGATGTGCTTCGACAACACAACACGAAAATGACAGTGCTTAGACGCCGGTGACACTCCAAAACCCAATCCGAAACCGGATATACACGGCAGAAAGGTGATGCCCTGTGTTTGGTGGAACAGCAAAGGTTGTGATTTGAAGTCTTGAATTCGGGTCAAACGGTTACGGTGGACATTTACGAAGTTCAGTTGAACCGCGTGGATCAAGCACTGCGTCGTCAAGGTGTCGAAACGACGTCGACAAAATTCCTCCTCGACAACGCTCGTCCACATGTTACGAAAACCACATTGGAAAAAAATTGAGGAATAGGGGTTGGGATTTCCTGCCTCGTCCGCCTTACAGCCCAGACCCAACTAAATCCGATGACCATCTTTTTCGGTCAACGCAGCACTCCTCGGGCGAGAGGAAATTCGAAAAGCGCGAAAAAGTCCAACTCAGGGTGTCCAACTACTTTGAGCCGGAGCCGGCAGAGTTCTTCAGAAGAAGAATCCATTCTTTGCGTAAACGTGGGCAACAAGTCATTGATAGTAATGGAGAATTTCTTTTGAATCGATCTTGCTTAGTTTCGTTTATATAATAAAAAATTTTTTGAACTCAAACGCGCATTTCTTTCCGAACAACCTAATATAAAGATGCTTCGTGAGCTCTACGTCAACTTCACGACCAGGATTCCACCATTCTACAAGGAAGTCATTGTCAACGTGAAGAGAGGTGTCCGGCAAGGCGATACTATTTCGTCCAAGCTTTTCAGTGCCGCTCTCGAGAATATCATGCGTCATTTGGAATGGGAAGACTTGGGAGTGAAGGTCAACGGCCGCTTCCTACATCACCTCCGCTTTGCAGACAACATCGTGCTTATAACACCGAACATCAAGCAGGTGGAACGAATGCTGGCCGAGTTTGATAGTGCCTGTTGAAAGATCGGCTTGGGGCTGAACCTAACGAAGACGATGTTCATGAAAAACGGACTGGTACCTGATGCTCCTACGTTAAACGGAACGAATATCCCCGAACGCTCTAGCTATGTGTATCGAGGTCGGGAAGTCAACATGATGAACGACCTAGCTCCAGAGCTGTGCAGAAGGAATCGCGCCGCGTGGGGAGCACTTAGGAACATCGAGGGAGTAGTGAAGAAGACAAAGAACATCCGGCACCGCGCTAACCTTTTCGACACTTCTGTCCTTCCGGCTTTGACGTACGCCTTGGAGACTTGGACTCTACGAAAGCAGGATGAACATGCTGTCAGCGTTATTCAACGCGCTTTGGAAAGGACGATGCTCGGAATTTCCCTATGCACGCAAGTGCAGAAGGGAATCCGGAGTTCCGAGCTCCGTCAACGAACGAAGATCAGGGATGCCGTTGATTACGCCAAGAAATCGAAGATCAGGTGGGCCGGACACGTTGTGCGATATAGTGATGACCGTTGGACCAGGGCGGATACTGACTGGATCCCTCGGAACATCGAACGAACTCCAGGAAGGCCGCCAACGAGATGGACAGACTTCTTCACGAGAGCTCTGAACGAAAGGAATGTTGAACCTCGTGTCCCTGAAGCGAAGACGATTCACTGGACCACTCTGGCTCGTGACAGGGACGAATGGAGACGTTACTGGCGTCCGCTCAAGGAAGTCGATGATCAACGGGACCACAGGTGATACAGGTGAACATTTCTTAGACAAGAACATACGAGAACGTACAGTTTTTTGATCTGAGCATCAGGAGGGAAAGTATACCAAGGTGGGTGAGTCGAATGAATATTCGACTCATACCCCGTCCTAGTTTTATACACGAGTTAATCACCCCACCCCTACCCCGCCGACCCTCCAATACTGAGGCTTACCTAGGAACCATATCCTTTCGCCTAGAATCGTTTCTAAGTACACGTCAGGTCGACTACCCCTCCTCTACACTCTTGTAACCAGTATTAGATAAAATCAATGCCCCATCTCCACTTAATTACAGTTTCTAACTATGATACTTGGTAGAAGTAAAGAATGAGGCCCGTGTGGGTTGGTGTGTTTTACCGGAAATTCATGACGAACGAACGGTCTGCCGAATATAAGCTCGTCGGGTCAAAGCAAAAGGAGTGTCAGTTCTGGCCGTAGTCGCCGAGACAGAAAAACATCCACAACGCNACGCTAGAGCTCCACCATTCGGAACCTGCACCGAGCTCATGGAACAGGTATTGCATAGGAAAAATCTTCCACTTGAATTTCTCCAACAGCCACGTATATCTGTCTTCGTATCCACCTGCTTCCTTTTCCTTCTAACGAAATGCGTTTCGTCACTCCAACGAAGAGTTGTAGGCGTTTGACCTCGATAGTATCTAAGCGGAATTCAAAATATCTAGTGAGCCTCCAATCAGTAACCGCCATAACACTGGCTCAGCTGTTTGCGCCGTATTTATAGGGATGCAAAGTGCTCGCGTCATGGGAAACTATCGATGCAGCATTGCTGCATAAGAAGAGAGATCCAACGATAATGACAGCGATCATCCAGTCATCGAAGGGCTTTGTTACCCACGAGACAGGAAAACTCAAGCCATGGACAATCAGTATGTCTCTGAACGTATGTATGACGTATGTTCAGTATGACGTTCAAGAATGTTTCGCGAGCTCTACCACAACTTCACGACCATCTTTTCGGTACTCTATTTAGAAATAGTTCTTGTACTTGTGAAAGGGGATTCTCGGTAGGGCAATACCATCCCGCTCACGAGTTTCGTGCCGTTCTCGAGAACATTATTCGTCATCTGGAATGAA